ATATTTTTACTGTGAACTCAAACATGCAATTACCCCAAACCAGAAATGAATAGAACCAACTGAGGAAGAGAACAGCTAGCAAGCATCCTCAAGACACACCACAAATGACCAAGACTCTGAAGTGAGTTACTGGCAGCCAAGAGGCCTGCAGGGAGGCACAAATCATTCAATCAGGCATTGCTGTTGACTCTGAAGAGGGCATTTGGCTGGGAGGGAGGGGGAGGAGATCCAGGTCTATTTGTGTCTTGATGTAGGCAGGGAGGTCATGAGCAATAAAGTACTGGTGAGAGGACAGCCCTACTTTCTGATGTTTCAAAGTGATTTTGAGACAAGTATTACTCTATAAATAAAACGTATTCATTAGTCTATTTCAGAGATAAGTAGACTCTCACTTTTTTCTTCAAGCCTCTTCGTTGTAGACACTGACACCAAAGAGTAAAACTACTCATCTATTAGGAGCCTTAAACTCTGGCTTTCAATTGAGATTAATATCAAAACTTGTTCAGACTATAAAAACAGACTCATGATAACAGGAACAAATGTTGGCAATTCATAGAAACACAGATTTGCTCCTACTTTGGCTTTCCCTGTACAATCAGTGAACCTGCTGAAAGCAAAGTTGGGTATTGGGGGAACCTGCCCCCAATATTTCAACATAGATTTTTTTTTGTTTTCCATAAGTGTCGGCTGGCTGAGAAATAAAGAGAAACAGTACAAAGAGAAGAATTTTACAGCTGGGCTACTGGGGGTGACATCACATATCGGTAGGACCGTGATGCCCGCCTGAGTCTCAAAACTAGTAAGTTTTTATTAAGGGTTTCAAAAGAGGAGAGGGTATAAAAACAGGGAGTAGGTGCAAAGATCACATGCTTCAAAAGGCAAAAAGCAGAACTACTAATAAGGGTCTAACAAAGATCACATATTTCTGAGGGAACAGGACAAAGGGAAAAAGCAGAACTACTGATAAGGGTCCAACAAAGATCACAAGGCAAAGGGCAAGGGCAGAACGACTGATCAGGGTCTATGTTCAGCAGTGCACGTATTGTCTTGATAAACATCTTACACAACAGAAAACAGGGTTCGAGAGCAGAGAACCAGTCTGAACTCAGATTTACCAGGATGGGGTTTTTCCCCACCCTAGTAAACCTGAGGGTACTGCAGGAGACCAGGGCATATCTCAGTCCTTATCTCAACTGCATAAGACAGACACATTCCCAGAGTGGCCATTTATAGACCTCCCCCCAGGAGTGCATTCCTTTCCCAGGGTATTAATGTTATTCGTTGCTAGGAAAAGAATGTAGTGATATCTCTCCTACTTGCATGTCCATTTATAGGCTCTCTGCAAGAAGAAAAATATGGCTCTTTTTGCCTGACCCCACAGGCAGTCAGACCTTATGGTTGCTTCCCTTGTTCCCTAAACATTGCTGTTACTCTGTTCTTTTTCAAGATGCACTGATTTCATATTGTTCAAACACGTTTTACAATCAATTTGTACAGTTAACACAGTTATCACAGTGGTCCTGAGGTGATGTACATCCTCAGCTTATGAAGATAACAGGATTAAGAGATTAAAGACAGGCATAAGAAATTATAAAAGTACTATTTGTGAGCTGATAAATGTCCATGAAATCTTCACAATTTATGTTCCTCTGCCATGGCTCCAGCCGGTCCCTCCGTTCAGGGTCCTTGACTTCCCACAACAGTTGGGCCCAGGAATTAGTTCTGAGTAGGAGGCTATAATATAACACGTTTGGATATACTTGAAAAGCTAATGATCTCAGTACAACTGGTATTAGTCTTTCAGGTATAATCACTCAAAGATGTCTTACAGTATATGCAGTTTGTGTTTTTATTAGTGTGGAATGTGTTTCAATTTTCTGCAGGCCAATTTTACTCTTTAGACCAGTGCCATATCCTTGAACCTGGAATAATAAAAGCAAGAATTTTCCTGTTGTTTGGCACTGAACTCTACTCATTAGCTGCTAATGAAGCAGAAGTTGTAGAGCTGAGTTCCATGTGGGCCAGTTGGCTTCATATTGACAGGAATATCTTTCAAAGATGCAGATTGAATTCCCATCTCTCAGCAACATCAGCCAGATGCCTATCATGGCACACAATTTGATCTTGGGGAAAGAGTTTGAATGTTTAGTATACTGTATGCCACAACTATAACTGGAAAAAAACCCCACCAAATATGGCTTATTGTCTAGTACAACCCTAGCACATACGCATAGACATAGTCAGTAACATTTCTGTTTAATGGTGAGAGAAAAAAAATCCAAAAAGAGAAAAGGATTAAAGAATCCGATTTAAACTTATAACCCATGTGTGCTGTTGACCCTACAAATGATAATGTGTTATGCATAAAATGATTTACATAATATTTGCAGTGTTGTTCTCACTTTTGCTATGCCATAAAAATCTCCCATTTCTTCATTTCATAGTGTAGTGCCCAACATACAGAGAGTAGAAAACAAGGTACACAAGTCAGTTCCTCCATCCATCCATTCATCCATCTAGACTTCCAACACACTTTCCGAGAATGTAATTTATCCTTGCTGCAATAATATTCTTTTTTCACTACTTACTCCTTTGGAATCTAGCCTACAGTCTAGCTACTTTCCCCATACTACTCTCTCAAAGGTTATCAGAAACCACTTAACCTTCATGCTCAGTGTCTATTCTCAACAGACATTTGGCAGAATTAGGAGGTGAGCCATGTTTCTGGAGCCCTGGCCCTATGCCAGCTGGGAGGGCAGCCATGAAAAGTCTTGCTGCTAACCCTCAGCCCAGCAACAGGACTGCATTCAAACAAATAACCAAAAATACTCTCTCTTAAACACTTATCCTGTGACTTCCGTGACACAGATTATCCTGGTTCCCCTTCCATTTATTGACCCTCTCAGGCTCAGCTCCATAATTTGTGGGGCCCAAAGCAAGATTAAAATTTGAGTTCCCTTGTTCAAAAAACAAGAAAAATTATTGTTAAAGTTACTCAATATAATTCTGTTTCTTTTGCAGTTTCTCTCTTGTCATGAAATCTTTTTATTTGCTGTTTAATGTCATTCTAAGTAAAGAAAAAATAAAATTTTTAATAAGAATAAATTTTACCATTTTTCTTCATGTTGTACAATACCAATTTTAAATGCCAATTTTAAAAGCATTTAGCTATGTGTAATCACCAAAATTATACAGGTATTATTTTTATAGCTCATACATATATATGTATTTCATTCTTATCAGAACAGTAGAATCACTGCACAAAACAAACTCTACTAATTTTATTTCACTTACTGATATGCACACGTTCTATCAACACTCTCTATGGTCAGTTTACTTGTATGTCATAATTTTCAGTATAAGTGCTTGACTAATTGACACAAGTAAGAAATTAACACAAGTAAGAAAATATGTGATGGGGTTTCTTAGAACATCATTGATTTCTTTCACACCAACAAGTTCTGGTTTGAACAGAAAGCATGGCCTCTCAAGACTTATCAGCCTTCCCCTGCACACGCTTACTCTAAGATGTAACACACACCTGGTACTCATATTGAGTCTTGCTGAACTCCCATGCATTGTGAGTCCACTGGAATTCTATGCTCATGAGACATGGTATGTGAGTGGGAAGGCCAGGAACGGTGGGCATGCACATTGCACATAGTGCTTCTCCTCATGCGTGTGCTCCATTGCCCCATCCAACTTTGCTTACAAAACATAGTTCAAAGATACATTTTTTAAAAAATTATAAGACGGTGGCAATAGCCTTACCCTGAGCTTGGAGCCCTTCTGAGAGTGACACTATGTGAGATTGCACAGGCCACACACCCATGTTGCTGGCCCTGGACTCTCACTGGTTTCTGTGTCATCCAGTCCATCTGATAAGTATCACGTGTAGTTCTGTCATCATCTTCTCTTTGTACATTTCATTCACCTTTATAAATTCAATTAACACCTCCCTGTCTTGATCCCAGTTTTTCTCAGGCTCTGAATATTCAACTTCCTGCTGAATACATCTCAACACATACCACATCTAAAATAAAATCCACCATTTTTCCACTAAAGCTGTTCTTCTGGGTTCGGTTAACCAAAAATCTCAGTCATTTGGTCCACAGTCTGTACAAAGCTGATCACATGGTACTTGCTCAATATACACTGCTGGTTTATTGACTAAATTGAGTATCTGCCTCCGGTTATAATTTGTAAGAGTCAGCCTAGATCATTCAGAGATCAGTTGTTCTGGTTGTAGACTTCCCATATCCTTATTTCTTTTTAAAATTATTCTTATAATACAGCTTCGAGACATTGGACAGAGGCAGGAAATAAAAATAAAATTTAACCATCCACTTCTACCTAACACTAATTAAAAACTTTTAACAGGAACCGTGATGATATTAATAGTTAAATTGGTTACCAAGATTTAGATTTCATCTACATATGCTCAGAACTTTGCTTTTCAGTTATTCCCAAATAAGCAGTTTCATTTCTTTTCCATTTCCAGATTTCTATATACATGAACTTAAAAAAAAAAAAAAATCCAGCCCTGGTCATGGTGGCTCACACCTGTAATCCCAGCATTTTGGGAGGCTGAGGTGGGCAGATCACTTGAGATAAGGAGTTTGAGACTAGCCTGGGCCAATATGGCAAAACCTTGTCTTTACTAAAATTACAAAAATTAGCCAGGCATGATGGCTCATGCCTGTAGTCCCAGCTACTTGGGAGAATGAGGCAGGAGAATCTCTTGAACCCAAAGGCACAGGTTGCAGTGAGCCAAGATTGCACCACTGCTCTCCAGCTTGGGTGACAGAGTGAGACTCCATCTCGAAAAAAAAAAAAGAAAAAAAATTCCATCAGTGGGTATCAGACTTAGTCACTGTCAAAGTCACACTGGCTACTGTCTTATTATTTGTATTCTTTGTTACAGAAATTTTAATTTGATGAACTTTAATTATGGTGTCTTGATATTTCCAGTGCTTCCCACTCTGGGTAAGTCATGAAAATAATGGTAACATTTGTGTTGTTATTCGTTATTTGTATTCTTTGTTACAGAAATTGTAATTTGATGAACTTTAATTATGGTGTCTTGATATTTCCAGTGTTTCCCACTCTGGGTAGGCCATGAAAATAATAGCAGTATTTGTGTTGTTATTCTGGCACTTCCAGTTTAGACTATAACCCAGAAAAGTTTGAAGGGTATTAAAAACAACAGCAATAACAACAACAACAACAGAAAAAACAGAACTACTAAAGAAATATGGGAGTTTAGATTATTTCAAACCTCATGATGACGTTTGGTTTATATTTAAGTGAGGTTCAAGTTAGTTCGTGTTTTTACGAGACTCTCTAGGTCCATTTCTAGCCACCTTTGCTTTAGGCTTGGCATGTGGAAAGACTAAAACTGCCTTCTTGCCTGACTGGGGTTCATCTAGTCATTAACTGCCTGCAACACCAAGGTAGAACTTCTTATTTCAGGCAGCCCAGGCACTGGAAATAATGTGCTGCTTGTATTATAAATCCAAAGAAATGCCAAAATAACCTGTGGTTTTCAGGAGTGGTACAGTTAGCTTTTATGACCAAGGAATGGAAAACCAACTCAGAACCCAGTATCAACCTTTCCATTCAAACCTGCATTCTGGTGGACATTAAAGTTCTAGTTATTTGTGAAATTTTAAAATAATATTTTAAATAAGGCTTGCTTCTAGGCTGTTCTAAGATATATTTTATTTATGATATGGTAATCCTCTAATTTTGAGTTACTCTCCTACTATTATTTTAAACATCATTAACAGTTCTGTGACATTTCTTATGCAATGCCAAAGGCAATAAAATAGTGTATTAGTCAATTAAGACATTGAATTTTTGATGCACACAGCACTGTGGGTCATAAAATAGAAGTAAATGAATAATTCCTGCCTTCAGAAAATGAATCTTTTTGAGGTAATAATAATATAGGTCTATGAATAATTAGAAGACAATATAACATAGTACATAGTCCAGTTAAAAAAAGAGATTAGAAGAGGAAAAACACCAGATCTCTATGTGGAGGAGAAAATGATGCTTAAACTGTGTTTCTCTTTGGAATATTAATGAGGACCAGAGAGGGCATCCATCTATTCAGAAGACTTCTGAAAATAAACTATCTAAGGGCCTTTAGACATTGGTAGATGCTGCATGCTATTTTTTGCTTATTTTATTTTATGTTTGTTTCAATAGGGTTTTGGGGAACAAGTGGTGTTTTGTTACATGAATAAGTTCTCTATTGGTGACTTATGAGATTTTGGTGCACCCATCACCAGAGCACCATACGCCGTATCCAATGTCTTTTATCCATCACCTCTGCCCTCCTTTCCCCTGAGTCCTCAAAGTCCATTGTATCATTCTTATTCCTTTGCATCCTCATAGCTTAGCTCCCATTTATGAGTGAGAACATACAATGTTTGGTTTTCCATTCCTGAATTACTTTACTTAGAATAATGGTCTCCAATTCAATCTGGGTTGCTGTGAATTCATTATTTCGTTCCTTTTTATGGCTGAGTAGTATTCCATGGTCTGTGTATATAGTGTGTGTGTATATGTGTGTGTGTGTGTGTGTGTGTGTATATATATATCACATTTTCTTTATCTACTCATTGATTGATGGGGATTTGGGCTGGTTCCATATCTTTGCAATTGCAAATTATGCTTCTATAAACATGCATGCTCAAGTATCTTTTTCATATAATGACTTCTTTTCCTCTAGGTAGATACCCAGGAGTGGGATTGCTGGATTAAATGGTAGGTCTACTTTTAGTTCTTTAAGGAATCCCCACACTATTTTCCATAGTGGTTGTACTAGTTTGCATTCCCACCAACAATGTAAAAATGTTCCCTTTTCACCACATCTACGCCAACTTCTATTATTTTTTGATTTTTTGATTATGGTCATTCTTGCAGGAGTAAAGTGGTATCACATTGTCATTTTGATATGCATTTACCTGATCATTAGTGAGGTTGAACATTTTTTCATATGTTTGTTGACCATGTGTATATCTTTTTTTTGAGAACTGTCTATTCATGTCCATAGCCCACTTTTTGATGGAATTGTTTGTTTTCTTTTCTTGCTGATTTGTTTGAGTTCCTTGTAGAGTCAGGATATTAATCTTTTGTCAGCCATAGATTGTGAAGATTTTCTCCCACTCTGTGGGTGGTTTGTTTACTGTGTTGGTTGTTCCTTTTGCTGTGCAGAAGCATTTTAGTTTAATCAAGGCCCATCTATTTATCTTTGTTTTTGTTACATGTACTTTTGGGTTCTTGATCATGAAGTCTTTGCCTCAAAGTCTAGAAGGGTTTTTTGAATGTTATCTTCTAGAATTTTTATGGTTTCAGGTCTTCTATTTAAGTATTTAATCCATCTTAAGTTGATTTTTGTATAAGATGAGAAATGAGGATCCAGTTTCATTCTTCTACATGTGACTTGTCAATTATCCCAGCACCACTTGTTATATAGTGTATCCTTTCACCCTTTATGTTTTTGTTTGCTTTGTTGAAGGTAAGTTAACTGTAAGTATTTGGGTTGATTTCTAATTCTTTATTCTGTTCCATTGGTCTATATACCTATTTTTATACAAGTACCATGCTATTTTGTTGACTATGACCTTATAGTATAGTTGGAAGTCACGTAATATGATGCCTCCAGATTTGTTCATTTCGCTTAGTCTTGCTTTGGCCATGTGGGCTCTCTTTTTGGTTCCATATGAATTTTGGATTGTTTTTCCTAGATGTGTGAAGACTGATGATGGTATTTTGGTGGGAATTGTGTTGAATTTGTAGATTTCTTTTGGTAGTATGGTCATTTTCACCATACTGATTCTACCCATTCCTAAGTATGGGATGTGTTTCCATTTGTTTGTGTTGTCTACGATTTTTTTAAGCAGGGTTTTGTAGTGGTGTTTGTTTGTTTGTTTGTTTGTTTGTTTTGTAGAGGTCCTTCTTTAGGTATATTCGTAAGTAATTTTTAGCTGTTGTAAAAGGTGTTGAGTTCTTTATTTGATTCTCAGCTTGGTCACTGTTGGTGTATAGCAGAGCTATTGATTTGTGTACATTAATTTTGTATTCTGAAAGTGCTGAATTTATTTGCTGCTTCTAGGAGCTCTTTCTTTATGTGATCATATCAGCAGCAAACAGCAACAGTTTGACCTTGTCTTTACCAATTTGGATGCCCTTTATTTCTTGTTCTTATATGATTGCTCTGGCTAGGAATTTCAGTACTATGTTGAATAGAAGTGGTGAAAGTGGGCATCCTTATCTTGTTCTAGTTCTCAGGGGGAATGCTTTCAACTTCTCTCTTTTCTGTATAATGTTGGCTGTGGATTTATCATAGATAGCTTTTGTTACCTCGATGTGTGTCCCTTCTATGCCGATTTTGCTGAGGGTTTTAATCATAAAGAGATGCTGGATTTTTTCAAATGCTTTTTCTACCTCTATTGAGATGATCATGTGAGTTTTGTTTTTGATTCTGTTTATATGGTGTGTCACATTTATTGACTTGAGTATGTTAAACAATCCCTGCATCACTGGTATGAAACAAACTTGATCATGGTGGATTATCTTTTTGATTTGATGTTGGATTCAGTTAGCTATTATTTTGTTGAGGATTTTTGTATCTATGTTCATCAGGGATCTTGGTCTATATTTTTCCTTTTTCATTATGTTCTTTCCTGTTTTTGGCATTAGGGTGATATTGGCTTCATAGAATGATTTAGGGAGGATTCCTTCTTTCTCTATTTGTGGAATAGTGTCAATAGGATTGGTACCAATTCTTCTTTGAATGTCTGATAAAATTCATCTGTGAATCCATCTGGTCCTGGAATTTTTTTGTTTGGTAACTCAAATTACCATTTCAATCTTACTGCTTGTTATTTGTCTGGTGACTCTCTCTTTATTTCTGGTCTAATCTAGAAAGGTTATATGTTTCCAAGAATTTATCCATCTCCTCTAGGTGTTCTAGTTTGTGCATGTAAAGTTGTTCATAGTAACCTTTAATGATCTTTTGTACTTCTGTGGTTTTGGTTGACATATCTCCTGTTTCATTTCTAATTGAGCTATTTGGATCTTCTCTCTTCTTGGTTAATCTTGCTAATGGTCTATCAGTTTTGTTTATCTTTTCAAAGAACCAGGTTTTGTTTTATTTGCCTTTTGTATTGTCTTTTTGTTGTTGTTGTTTAAATTTCATTTAGTTCTTCTAGGCTCTTTGTTATTTCTTTACTTTTGCTGGGTTTGGTTTGTTCTTGTTTCTCTAGTTCCTTGAGGTATGAGCTTTGATTGTCTCTTTGTGCTCTTTCAGACTTTTTGATGTAGACATTTAATGTTATGTCAGTGGAGAAAAGTCCCCCAATATTATTGCATTGCTGTCTACCTCGTCTCTTAGGTCTAATAATAATTGTTTTTATAAATCTGGGAGCTTCAGTATTAGGTGCATATATATTTGGGATTGTGATACTTTCCTGTTGAACTAGGCCTTTTATCATTATATAATGTGCCTCTTTGTCTTTTTTAACTGCTGCTGCTTTAAAGTTTGTTTTTTCTGATACAAGAATAGCTACTCCTGCTTGCTTTTGGTGTCCGTTTGCATGGAGTATGTTTTTCTACCCCATTTACCTTAAGTTTATGTGAATCCTTATGTGTCAGGTGAGTCTCTTGGAAACAGCAGATACTTGTTTGCTGAATTCTCATCCATTCTGCCATTCTGTGTCTTTTCTTTTTCCTTTTAATTGCATTTAGTTTAATGCTGAATTTACTCCCATGCCATAAATTTTTGTTTCATCAGTTTCTTCTGGGATATCTTTTTCTTCTGGGCAACCTCCTCTTCTGGTTTAGGAACAATCTGTTTCTTTTCAATAAGGATCATCTCAATGTGGCAGGGAGACCTCATGTATGGGTTAGTCTGACTATGAGCTCCATAGGTCCAGCAGCACATCTTACGTGCTTTATTCACTTGGATATGTGTTGCAGGAAGTCAGGGACCCTGAATAGAGGGACCGGCTGAAGCCACGGCAGAAGAACATAAATTGTGAAGATTTCATGGACATTTATTAGTTCCCAAATTAATACTTTTATAATTTCTTACACCTGTCTTTACTGCAATCTCTGAACATAAATTGTAAAGATTTCATGGACATTTATCACTTCCCCAATCAATATTTTTGTGATTTCCTATGCCTGTCTTTACTTTAATCTCTTAATCCCATCATCTTCGTAAGCTGAGGATGTATGTTGCCTCAGGACCCTGTGATGATTGTGTTAACTGCACAAATTGTTTAAACAATATAAAATCTGGGCACTTTGAAAAAAGAACAGGATAACAGTGATGTTTAGGGAGTAAGGGAGATAACCATTAGTTCTGGCTGCCTGAGAGTTGGGTGGAACAGAGCCATATTTCTCCTCTTTCAAAATCAAATAGAACTATCGCTGAATTCTTTTTCTCAGCAAGGAGCAGCCCTGAGAAAGAGAATGCATTCCTAGGGGTAGGTCTCTAAAATGGCCACTCTGGGAATGTCTGTCTTTTACGGTTGTAGATAAGGGATGAAATAAGCCCCAGTCTCCTATAGCGCTCCCAGGCTTATTAGGATGAGGAAATTCCCGCCTAATAAATTTTGGTCAGAACGGTTGTCTGCTCTCAAACCCTGTCTCCTGATAAGATGTTATCAATGACAGTGCGTGCCCAAAACTTCATTAGCAATTTTAATTTCTCCCTGGTCCTGTGATCTTGCCCTGCCTCCTTTGCCTTGTAATATTTTATTACCTTGTGAAGCATGTGATCTCTGTGATCCACACCCTATTCGTACACTCCCTTCCCTTTGAAAATCACTAATAGAAACTTGCTGGTTTTGCAACTTGGGAGCATCACGGAACCTGCCGACATGTGATGTCTCCCCCAGATACTCAGCTTTAAAATTTCTCTCTTTTGTACTTATTTCTCAGACCAGCTAACACTTAGGGAAATAGAAAAGAACGTATATGAAATAATGTTGAATTATTGGGGGCAGGTTCCCCAACAGATATGCTCAATGACCAGAGAGTCTACATCTAAACCTTTAAGTTCACCATTACTCTCTGCATTTTTAAGCATGTGCAGCAAAAATTCAGCACTCTTTTGGGCCACCAACCTTGTGTCTAGCCCCACTGCTTGGCCTGGGCATACCTGCTAACTCCACCATTGTAACATCGGAATGGTACACACCATTTCTGTAAGGTGATATCTTTCAGATATTTTGTGGCTTTTCATATATGCATACCCTTGATGGCCTGGGCAGTTTCACAAGTATTCTTAAGGTGAATATGAAGATTAGAACCTCTTGATTTGCATGATTTTGTGGGGTTCTCTGGGTCAAATGTATAGGGAACCATTTTCACAGATTACCTCAGGCCACTTAGGGAAAGAGCCATTCTGTATCTTTTAAGTGGAGCATTTAGGCAATTTACATTCAATGTCATTATTGAGATTTGAGGTACTATTCTATTCACCATGCTATTTGTCACCTGAATACCTTGGTTTTTTCATTGTGTTATTGTTTCATAGATCCTGTGAGATGTACACTTTTAAGATTTTATTTTGTGTATTTCAAAGATTTGTTTTGAGATTTAGAACTTTTTTTTTTTCTTTAGCAATACTTGTAGTACTAGCTTGGTAGTGGTGAATTCTCTCAGCATTTGTTTGTCTGGAAAAGACTGTATCTTTCCTTCATTTATGAAGCTTATTTTCACTGGATTCAAAATTCTTGGCTGATAATTGTTTT